AAAAAAAAAAAAGTCTCCAGACATTGCCAAATATTTCCTCGGGGAAACAATTTACACCTGGTTAAGGACCTCTGCATTAGTGGATCATAAATTCACATGTAGTGAGTCCTACGGAGCATTTAAAAAAGTTAAATGACATAAAATTGAAATAGAATAAAAACTTAGAAAACATCATAGGTACTCAAGTATTGCTTAGTGATATAAATCTATTTTTTTAAAGATTTTATTTATTTATTTGAGAGAGAGAGAGCGCACGAGAGAGCACAAGCAGGGGGACTGGCAGAGGGAGAGGGAGAAGCAGGCTCCCCGCTAAGCAGGGAACCCGATGTGGGGCTCGATCCCAGCACCCTGAGATCATGACCTGAGCCAATAATCACTGAGACACTCAGGTGCCCAGTGATATAAATTTCTTACAGTGAGTTTCAGTCAAAAGTTTGAAAGCCACTGGTCTGTACTTAATAAGACTTTTCACATAACTATCTCATTTAATCAGAAAACTCTATAAAGTAGGCAGGACAGATGTTATCCCCATTTTACAAATCAGAAAATTGGGGCTCAGATCAGCTGAGGGACCTGCCCTCAGTGTTACCCAGTAGGCTAAAGGAAGGAAATGAAGCAGAACCCAAGTCTCTAAACTTCTAGTTACAAGGTAAAAAGGAAATTGTTACCTAAGGGCAAAGATCTCCTATGTGGCTCAGAAGGACAGAGATATCATGGAGTCATAGGTCTTTGGCAGTGGGTCCAATAATTAAAACTAGATATCAATACATTAGATGGAAATTTGAAAAACATTTTATCAAGATTTTTATTTTCCACACTGGCTTGCTAACCTTTGTATACCCAGAGTTACTTATGGAATAAATAAATGAATGAATGAACACTGACCACACAATTCCTGTTCATCTTCAATCAGCCAGTTCCTCTGATCACCTTCAGACAATCAAGCATGCTCCTCCATTTGCTTGGAATCTCTCTTCTCCTTTCCCACTGAAATTTTTTTTTTAACTTTTAATTTTTAATTCTTTTATTTATTTATTTTTAAAAGTAAGCTCTATGCCCAATGTGGGGCTGGAACTCATAACCTCAGACCAAGAGTCACATGCTCTGGAGACTGAGCCAGCCAGGTGCCCTTCTTCACTGACTTTCAGAATCAGCTCTTTAATAGTCCTCTAGGGCCACCTTCCACAAATCCCCAGGCGGGTTTATTTCCTTCTCTGTGTTCCTTCTAAAGGCCTTACCTAATTGTACTGCAATGATCTGTTTTACAGCTGTTCCCTGATACTCCCTGTGCCTTTGCAACCCTTTCTACTCCCTCTCCCTCGATCCCAGAGGTAGCAACTCTGTCCTAGTTCAAATAGCATAAACCACAATAACCACCACACTGCTTGGAAATGAATTTGCTGTGTAATACCTGTTGACTGAGTGGAAAGAAAGAAGACAAAGAAGGCAATTATCTGACAGTATAGAAGCAAAAGAATGCTGCTGCTTCCTTTTGAGCTGAGAAGACTGAACTACCCATTTCACTGTGGATTAAAGAATAGGACAGTAGTTGCAAGGCTCCAGCTCAGTGGTGGCAGGCCACCATTCGGTGGAGATGTGAGTACACTGCAGGGTGCTCACACTGCTGCCCAAGCCAAACTCCAAAACCAAACTGCAGTCCCCCACCACTAAGCCATCTGGAGTTGGCCCTGTCCTGTGTAAGTCTTAGGCCCTAAGCTGTCTAGTTCTGCGTCCCCACGTGATAAGATTAATTTAGGACCCCAGTTAAATAGATGGCTTCCTAGGACTTGCTCTAGAAGATTCGGAATCATTAGATTGGAGATAAGGCACCAGTACTTTGTATTTTTAACCAGCACCCCAAGTGATTCTTATTATCAAGGCAGTTGAGGAAACTAATCATCTTTGTATCACTCACACTACAGAATTAGGGCAGTTATTTATTTTTCAGTGATTTCACCTCAATGTTAACTTTGGAATATGCTCTTGGTTAACAGATAAAATGCTCCTGGGCTCCTCGAAACTATAGTTTATTAATATTTAGAATGTATTATTCAGCAGCTTTTACCTTCCTTTTCAGCAGGGTGATTCAAGTGAGAGGAAAGGACAATAGGGCCACCCCAAACGTCAGAACTCTTCTTGCCACATGAGCCAAACTAGGAACTGAGCCTTATTAGTGCTGGGATGATCTGAGCGTTGCCGGATCCAATTCACTCCTTTCGTAGTTGAGCTCACTAGAGCCGAGGTGACCAGCACCACAGTTTTCCTCACCAGGCTTTGGACGGAAAAGGACAGAACTGGGGAGGGCTTTCCTTTAACAAGATGAATTGTTAGCAGCTGTCCAAGGAAAGGAGAGCTGAGAAAAAAAATAGCCCCAACTTTTTATTCCTATTTTCACCAAGCCACAAGTCTGCATCATAGTGAGAGACACGGGCAAGATTTCGTTAGCTCTTGCTGGTCGCCTGTCTGCCTTCCTGGTCAGATCCAGTCTTTCCTTGTTAAGCGGGGCTCTGGTGGGAAAAATACCAAACAACGTTTTTGAAGAGGGAGTAAGTCTTCATCATTCGTGACCTCATGAAATCCGTCTGGGCCAAAAAGATAGTGGCCGCTTAGCTGAGGGCCCTGGGGACTTCCGAAGGTTTGCTCCAATGTGGAAGGGGTGGGGCTCTTCAAAACACAGCGCAGTACGCCGAGATAAAACCTCCTACCCAAAAGCCTCACAGACAGCGACCCAGACCCGGCGTGAGTCCCGCGCGCAGGCGCACGACCGCCCGGCGGCCAGGGCCTGAAGCTCCGGGGCCGCGCGGGGGCGGGTCACGTGGGCCGCGCAGCCCTCTCTGCGATGTCCCTACAAGGACTTGGGCAAACGGGCCCCGCCCCTAGCCGTGCCCTGGAATGTGAGGGGGGCCGACCTACAGGACAGGCTCACCCATTTGCCAACAGGAAAGGGGGGAAGAAAAGCTTACATGAAAGAGGAGGTATAAAAAGACGGAAACTCAGTCGAACCATTACACGAACGAACCATTACACAATCTTCTATGTTCTGAGTCGCCCGCTTTATACTCCTTCCCGTGCACTCGTTCAAAACTGCACCCTTCTAGCACATTGGCAACTCCCCCCACCCGTCGCCTTTCTATTAAGTCAGGCCCACTCTGTCGGCCGACAATGGTGACTAGGCTCTCTTCCGGTTTGCTAAGCGGAGGCCGGAAGTGTTGGTTTTAGGGGGCTCTGGGAGTAGAAGGGTGTTGATAGCAGCAGCCTGGGCAGCGAGGGGGTTACCGAAGTGCTCGGATTTTCGCGGCAGTGCAGGGTGAGTGGTGCTCGCGATCCGGCGCGTGAGGCCCATCCCCGGGGGCCCATCTCCGCAGGGCGGCTGGGTGGGCAGCGGCGCTCCGCGGCGGGCCGCCAGCGCCGGGAGCTCACCTGGGCAGGTGTCCTAGCGGGTTCCCGGGTTTCGAGCCCAACGGCCAGCTCCGGGATCGAAGGCCACGCCCGAAAGCCCCGAGGCGCGAACTTTGTTCCTTTGCCCAAACTTGGAGCTCAGCAAGTGTGACTTCGCTCGCTGGCGCCGCGATCTTCGGCGACAGCCTGGCCTGTGAAACCCGAGCCCCGCGGCGCTGACTCCTGCACTAAGTTTAGTTTCTAACGTAAACTTGCCGGATTCAAGAGTTTGCTCAAAATCTGAAGCCCAAGTGTCCCCCATGCTGCAGCTGTTGTTGCAGCTGTGTGGCTACGTTTAGTAGGAATAACCCAACTCAAATTAGCAATTTCCTCAGCTCAGCATCCACTTCTATAATTAGAACTTTTTTAAAGTGATATTTTACAAAGGGGTTAAGGGTTTAGTTTGCAGCTTGAGAAAACTCCAAAATGCAACACCAAGTTCCTTTTGGGTGGAGACTTTGGGTTATGTCAGTTTGCCAAAATCTTTCCTTTTAAAGTAGTTGAGTAGGTATATGAAAGAATTTTTAACAGAACTTTGGAGCAGAAATAAGAGTTGAGATTTTAACTTAAATGCAAAATGTTTTATATCTGAAGATCAAGTGAGTATTTCTTAAAATTACTACTATTTGTTTTATGTTCTGGAAGGCTTTTGATGAAACTTAACCACAAAAGCTTCAGATGTTCAAGAGTGAGGCTTTACTGGCAAGTGAACCCTGACAACTAATTAACTGCTCTTGTCAAGCGCGAAGAACTTTGGGTGTGGCAGTCTGAGATCTAATCCTACCTTCAGCCGGAAGTTTACATAGGAAATGAAAACTTGGTTCATTTGGAAAGGAAGCACCAATCTGAAAATGTATTTTTAAAAACTGCGGTTGGCTCCAAAAAATCAAATATGCTTAGCTTGAGGATAAAGTACATTGATTAAATGAAACAGGAGATTTGGTCTGGATACTACATCCTATCACACTAGGTAGTGTTTTCTTTCTTTCTTTCTTTTTTTCTTTAAGTAGGCTCCAGGCCCAGTGTGGAACCCATCCTGGGGCTTGAACTCAAGACCCTGAGGTTGTGACGTTAGCTGACATCAAGAGTTAGACACTTGATTGACTGAGCCACCCAGGCGCCCCACTAGGAAGTGTTTTCTAAGATGGGCGTTTTTCCTTAAAGAATGTGTCATATTTTCCTAGAATACTATCAGTTTTAGTGTCAATTCTGTAGAAAAAAATCTCTAGGTTATTTTACATTTATTACCACTTTACAAATGTTACATTCTAGGATTCTAATTAGAGTAATCAATATTAGTATGGATTAATCCCATTTTATAAATGAAACCATAGTATCTAGAGAGGCTGAAAAATCTTCCCATTGCCCTTGATGTGTGGGAAAAGCCTCTTTGAGGCTTTTCTTCTACCATTTAATCTAGTGTAACATCTTTCTTACATGATTTGTATCCCTCCTTTTGTCATAACCTTGAATTGAGTCTCTTCCTATTTGATCAAGCTAAAACACACACACACATAAATTAATTGCTACCAACACTTAACCTCTCCTGATTTAAAACAAGGTTATACTCCTTTAGATCTGTAAACTGAATCTTCTTGACCACCACTGGCTCTGTTTCATTCACTTTCTTGTGCATCTGAAATCCTTTCATATTTCATAGACGCCTGCACTGCAAGTTTCCCTGCTTTAAAGTTTCATACAACAAATATGCCTTCACGCCAGATATCTTTCATTAACTGCTTCAAAAATAGACTCCAGGCTATAACTTAGAATGAGTGAGAATACTCATAACTTAAAAATCTCAGATGCCTACATCTTCCCATTCTATATAAAGAATACTTACATTGATGTATGAAATATTTTCAATGTTTTTTACCCTAATTTCTAAACTTCTGTGGGAGTTGTGCATTTGCGGAAGATTTCTAACAGGATAGTTACACGTCTCACTTGTTTGGGGAAAGTAAAAGTGGATAACAAATTAGAATCATATAGAAAGGAGGACAGTAACAATATCATAAGTGATCTGCTCTTTGGGATCATAGCACTGTCCCTGATTTGGTTCCCTCTACATCAGTGTTTATTCCACCCATACTTTTATTTTTTTTATTTTTATTTTTTAAAGATTTTATTTGTTTATTTGAGATACAGCAAGTGAGTGAGAGAGAGAGAGTGCTCATGCATGCACATGAGGGGTATGAGGGGGAGGCACAGAGGGAGAGGGAGAAGCAGGCTCTCCACTGAGCAGGGAGCCTGATGCGGAACTCAGTCCCAGGACCCTGGGATCATGACCTGAGCCAAAGGCAGGTGCTTAACCTACTGAGCCACCCAGGCACCCCTCCACCCATACGTTTAGTTTGGTAGGAAAAAAAACCCCACACTTTCCTTATTTTAGAACAACTTACTGTGAAGCTGAACTGCCTATTGCTGGAAGGCTCCCAGTTTCTGCTGGGAGATAAACTCATAGACAAGAACACAATCTCCTTGAAAAAGTAAAGGCCCAGGTAGTAACTTGCCTAACATTATACTACCAGTTTTGGTAGAATTAACTACCTTAATTTGTTAGAATTAAAATTAATATCTGAATCTCTTAATTCTAAGGATGTCTTGCAGGGTTTTTCAAGGTCTTTTCCCACCTCCTCAATCTTTTAGAAAAAATCTTTCTCAACTCACAGTATTTGATAGATCATGTACCACCTTTATTTTTCATTATTGTCACACACTGTTTTACCTTGAGAGTCTTCAGGAATGAAAACTATGACTCATTTCATAAGATTAACCAATCATTTCATTTCTTTATAGTTGCTTCCCCAACTTCAAGCTTCTTGAAGATAGGACACTTGCCTTACATTTCTTAATTATTAAATAGTGCTTAACACTAGTGACATTTGATATACATTGGTGTAATTAAATGATATTAAAGATTGATGATTAAGTATTGCTTGAGCTAAAGGAAAATTCTTTGAGACATTGTCCGTGCTGACCAAAAAAAAAAAAAGACTTTATAACTTTTACCAACTATTTTACAATGAATAGAGATTTAAATAATGCATGATTAAAAGAAAGACTAATGGGAAATACTTTAAAATTCAAATACATATATTTATCTATAACTTTATAGCACAAACTAAGCATTTTAAAAAGGTCCTTAGAGGACTCCCACCAAATTTTTGTTTTAAAGATTTTTTATTTATTCGAGACACAGAGATACAGAGAGAGAGAGAGCATGAGCAGGGGGAGAGGCAGAGGGAGAGGGAGAAGCAGGCTCCCCACCAAGCCAAGAGCCCGATAAGGGGCCCGATCCCAGGACCCTGGGACCATGACCTGAGCCGAAGGCAGACGCTCAACCATCTGAGCCACCCCGGCACCCCTCCCACCAAATTTAATATTATGAGGTTTTATAGATTAAAAAATGTGCCAACCATTTGACCTATAATTCTCATCAGTTTCTTTGTTCTTAAAATAACTGACATTCCTGCCTCATGAGGGGAAGACAATGTTGTCAAACAAAACAGACTATTTTTAAAGACATGCTTTGGTTTGCAAAGACATGGCATGCCTAAAATATTAAAGAGAGGTGGACTGGTAATTCTGTGCCCGTCATTGGGTCTCTGCCACTCACCCCAAGTCCTGGAGTACAGTTAAGAAATGGAGGAATAATATACACTGTGACTCTTTGTAGTTTTTAAAAGTACATTTAGAATAGAAGGAAAAATTACAACCCTATGTAGTTTCGATAATGGTATTTACTGCCCCCAAAAGGTGTTGCAGAATGAAAATACGCATTCAAGAATGGTGCAGATAAATTATGACAGGCAGCCTCCCAAATTGTGGTTAAAGGAAACTTGAAAATTAGGGAGGAGTGTATATCCTAACTTCTGGGTTGTGTAGGGTATATCTTACCAACAACACATTCCATGTATCACCGAGTGCTATATTGGATGGCCTGGAATTTGTGACTCTTCTTTGTGGAATTTCCTACTGAAATCTGAGAACAGATTTAGCTTTAAAAAAAAAAAAAATCTGAAGCAGAGTTTTTCTGATTATTTCTATAATTCAGTTTAGTCTGGGTGATGTGGTATAATCAAGGGAAGAATGTAAGAAATAACTGTAAACTCATAGGAAGCATTGTATTCTAAGGTCACTTTGCAGTGCTGAGATCTAGGTAGTACTTCATTCTTTGCAGTCCACAGATTTATTTTTAGAGCAAGGGCATAGTGTTTTGCTACATCATAGCTAAATGTTGTTTTCAGAACGTAAGCTTTAAAATTGTTATCCTGGCCAGAGAGTGAAATCAGGAGTGCCTATTTTAGGCCTGCTTGGAAGAATATAACTCAATACAGTGGCCTAGTCTTGCTGGTTAGAGGTTTTGCAGACTACCATCGCCACCCGGGCTCTGAAGGATGGTACGGTAAAATTTTGTTATCTGATGACTATGTGGTTTTTAACTCCAAACAAATTTTTATTGTCTTTTAAAGATTGAGTGTTGAAAAAATAGCCTTTTCATTTTAGGTATCATTAGGCATTTTTTTTTTAAATTTTTAACTTAAATTTTACAGGGATAAATTTAGATTAGAGAACAAAGTTTGTTTCCATAGCTATTAAAATGTTTTTTAAAACTTTTTTTTTAAAAAAAGTAAATAGCTTTAAAAACTGTTGTGCTGATTTTTGTCTAGAGAACTTAGTGACCTCAAATGATTTAACTTGGCTCTGTGCAAGAAACTGGTTTGGATAGAGTGGAAATAAATTGTAGGTGAATTCATAGTTTTTTATACTTTTTCAGTTAGCTTTTCAACAAATACATTTTTTAAACTACTTTGATTCCAGAAGTGAGGGTGCAATAAAAATTGTTAGTTGCAAGTGGAAGAATGCTATTTGACAGTGGAGATTAGGAGACGAAGACCTATTCCATCAATTAGTCTTCCTTCCTACTTTCTGTCCACCTTAGAATGGAATAGCCAGCTTAGGCTAGGGCTGCAGAATAGACTTGTTGAAGATGAATTAGTATTCCCCAGTACTGGCATAGCACTGAAGTATAGAACCAGTACTGTTTCTCCAGGGTACCTGTATTTTTTTGTTTGTTTCTTGTTTTCTCTATTGTTATTAAACCAG